CCTTGGTTTCTAAGGTATCAGACCATTGAACTACTTAAAGAGAACAGGGATTTTTCTGGTTCAAAGATGTTGGTATAGTCTCTATCATTTCTTTGGTTATTCTTGAAATTCTAAAAGAAGTACTAAAATACAAAAATGTAATCCCCACCCAGAAGGCCCCAATAATGTTCATTTTTAGAGGAAAATAAAAAAAGATCACATTTAAGGGGGAAAATACTTGGGGAAATTAGAACTGCTACTTTTCTGAAGTAAGTTCACTTGTTACAAATTAAAGATGGAAGTTGGGCACCAGTGGCTCCTGCCTGTAATCCTAGCTACGTGGGAGACGGAGATCTGAGGTTCAAAGCCAGTCCTGGCAGGTTAGCCTACAACACTCTTATCTCCAATTCGCCATCTAAAAGCTGGATGTGAAGCTGAGACTCAAGTGGTAGAGCACCAGCCTTGGGCAAAAAAGCTAAGGAACAGTATCCAGCCCTGGGTTCAAGCCTCAGCATTGGCATATGCATGTGTGTGCACTCACACACACACACACACACACACACGCACACACATGCACACATATGCAGATGGATCTTCTGATTCCTCATTTAAAGCAAAGCTGCCATCAGAATAATTGAAATTAGCTGGGGGCATGGTTAACAACTATCCACAAAGTTCAAATTATCAAAATTTAACCATCACCAAATATTTACCCACAATTCTAGAAAGGGTCCATTTGAAAGCATACGCATTGATTCTTTTTATTCTTAATAACCAAAATTCCAAGGATAAATGAGAGGAAAAATAGTCACAAGAACCAGTTAACACATCATCTCAATGATCCAAAGCTGCCAATTAATTTGAATTACTGTATCAGTACATTATATTACCTGATGTAGCAATGCCTTGATCACAGGAAAATATTTAATTAGAGTAGTGTGTAAAAATTTACTTCATGGGCTGGGAAGGTGGCTCAGTGGTAGAGCGCTTGCTTTGCATGCATGAGGCCCTGGGTTCTATTCCTCAGCACCACATAAGCAAAAAATAAAAAAGCCGGAAGTGCGCTGTGGCTCAAGTGGTATAGCCTTGAGCTGAAGAGCTGAGGGACAGCGCCCAGGCCCAGAGTTCAGGCCCCACGACTGGACCCAAAAAAAAAATAAAAAAAAATAAAATCTTGGTTTAAAAAAAATTACTTCATGAAGTGAGAGTTCTAGATTTCAAATATTCCTAAAAAAAAAAAAGTCAGGGGCTGGGAAGGTAACTCAGTGGTAGAGCGCTTGCCTTGAATGCATGAAGCCCTGGGTTCGATTTCTCATCACCAAATAAGCAGAAAAAGCCAGAAGTGTTGCTATTGCTCAAGTGCAGAATGCTAGCTTTGAGCTGAAGAGCTGAGGGACAGTGCCCAGGCCCAGAGTTCAGGCCCCACAACCAACAAAAAAAAAGAAAAAGAAAAAAAGAAAAACATCATAGTAGCTAGCTGAACAAATCATTGCTTTTTTTTGTTTGTTTATTTTGGGTTTTTTTGGGTCCGGTCGTGGGGCCTGAACTCTGGGCCTGGGTGCTGTCAGCTCAAGGCTAGTGCTCTACCACTTGAGCCACAGCGCCACTTCTGGCTTTTTTTTTCTGCTTATGTGGTGCTGAGGAATCGAACCCAGGGCCTCATGCATGCAAGGCAAGCACTCTACCACGGAGCCACCTTCCCAGCCCCCAAATCACTGGTTTTGTTCTAATTCATTGCTTGACCAAGTAGACAGCAAAGTATTTTATGATGATTTTATTTAAATAATTAAGAGAATTCAATGACTATCCATCAGGCAATTTGCTTACAATCTCATAATTGAAATTAATAAATATTTTCAAAAGATTTAAAATACAAAACAAAAGTAAGAGATCGAATTCTGAGATCAGCTTGTAGGATGCTACCTTTTTCATTCATTTCTCCCAATTCATTATGGCAAATTACCAGCATGGACCACACCAGTGATACAAGGTACCTTAATTGTTACAGTTCAACCATTCCACGAGATTAAGTTGGAGGTTCTCTTTAGATCAGAGAATTTACTTTGCAACTGACCAAACTAGTGTATTGTTTGCTTTAAGCCCAAATTTCCACTGAGGCTTCAAAAACAAACAAACAAACAAAACCCCAAACCCATTGAAGTTGTTTGTCTCTCTGAGCTTTATCTAGAGCTCCTCATTCTCTTATGGGACCACCTGCCTTGAGCCTGCATGGAGTAGGAAACCAAATCACAGCCCGTCCTCTGCCTCTAGGGTAGAGAACGTGATTGGCTACAGAGACAGGAGAACCCAAAGAAATCATAGTCCTCTACTTTTGAAAAGAAAATACAACATCCATTGACATGGTTTACTCTGCTTGATATGTCCTTTAATTCCAGTGTTCACTGACTTGGCTCTGTTTGGCCTGGTAGACTTGCACCCCATTGTTGCCACAATGGGTTGATGACAGCATAGAATGGGGCTCCCCAGCCTCCACACATTTCCCAGTAGGAGGGCAGACGAAATTCCTTCCCTGCCTTACCTGGGGACCAGATCCATTACTACTGGATGGTGGCAGCCAGGACAGAACCTTGCTACTTGCCCACGTGTGTTGGGGGGGAGGGGGATGCTCCTGCACTGACCCCAAACAAAGAAGAAGAAGAAAAGGAGGAAGAAGAAGAGGAGGGGGAGAAGGAGGGTAAAGGAGGAGGAGGAGGGTTGAGGAGGAGAAAGAGGACACAGAGGAGGAGAAGGAAGAGAAGGAATAAAGGAAAGGGAAAAGGGGGAGATGAGGTAGGGGAAGATGGCAGGAAGGAAGAAAGAGGAGGGTGAGAAGGGAGAAGAAGACAGAGGAGATGGAGAAGAAGGAGGAGGAGGAGGAGCAAGAGGAGGAGGAGGAATTATTTTGAGGATACACAAAAGAAACTGATTATCAATCGATTCCAAGCTCAACTTTTAACAGGGAAAATAGTCTTGATTGAAAGAAATGATTCCGAGAACCAAGCCACTTCCCTTGAGTGCTCTCCCAGCTTCGCAGCTGGACCAGAAATGACTCAGGAACAAAGCTCAGGGTTTTGGTGCACCTGGGTTCCTTTCTCCCAGCGATGCTCTTCCCCTAATTTGCAGCTGTTGGTGTCAGGCAAGGTGGATGAAGATGGTTCAGTGGCTCTATTGGTCTGGACTTGCCAAGAGCAGAAAAGGAATTGGGTCAGAGCCAGAGTTGTCCTGGCCTTTCCACACGATCTCCCTACTCAACGCCAGCAGGGAGAGCAGCTGCACAGGGTGGATGATGGTATCACACATGGGAGACAGAGAAGAATCTCAAAGATGGGTCAAAGCTGAGCGCATGCCTGTAAACTAGACCTAACTATCCTGGAGGCTGAGCTACAAGGCTCTCACAGTTTGAAACCAGCCAGGGCAAAAAAGGTCTGTGGACTCTTATCCTCAGTTAATCACCAAAAAGCCAAAAGTGGAGCTGTGGCTCTAGTGGTAGCTCACTAGCCTTGAGCAACAATGCTAAGGTAAACACCCAGAACCTGCCAAAGGAAGAAATGGGGGGAGAGAGAGAGGAAGAAAGAAGGAGGAGGAGGCAGAGGAAGAGAAGGAGAAGGAGGAAAGGAGGAAAGAAGGAAGGAAGGAAGGAAGGAAGGAAGGAAGGAAGGAAGGAAGGAAGGAAGGAAGGAAATAAAAAAATGGGTCAAGATATTCTTAGTAGAATATACAAAAATGCAGACATTTTGATTTGTCCCCAAGTAACCATCTAACCACAATGAGCCCTTAGTTCTTGTCTGCAAATAACCATACTGTTGACAAATCATTCTGCTACTGATGGACTTCCAAAATTATATGTGCTTCTAAAGTCAAGAAAATGCAAGAAATGAACTGTGTGCTATTAGCTGCCCAAGAAAAAGTACCATGAACCACCACATATGCATTACTGTCTAGTAATAACCACAAAAGCCAGAGCAACTGTTGAAAATACTTTTAAGTTACCCAGGCAACAGTTATTACACATAAAACTATGATTTCTTGTATTTTTCTGTTCAATTATTAAGTGTACCTTTATCATCAGGACTGGCAATAAAGCTCTATTGAATTCAGCACTTGGGAAGAATAAGCATGAGAGTGGGATTTAGAGTGAGTTTTCTAGAATAAGAACCTTACGCTGTTTCTGTAAAGAAGCTGGTAGAAGTCAAGAAGGGAAATACCAGAAAATGAAGGGGCATTCAGACTTTGCTGTCTCCTTTCATTTGCAGGGTAACTGTTTTTGTTGTCTTGAAGATTCTTTAGAAACCTTCCTAAAGATTTATGACACAGAAGCACATTTCACAAGGTCCTTTGGAAGGTAACAAAAAATGATGAGACAGGCATCTGAGACTGCCGCCTATAATCCTAGCCACTCAGGAAGACTGCAGAGATCTGAGGATCGCAATGTGAAGCCAGCCAGGGAAGGAAAGTCTGTAAGACTCTTATCTCCAATGAACTAGCAAAACTCTGGAAGTAGCAGTGTGGTTCAAGTTGCTGAGCACCAACCTTGAACGGAAAAAGCTGAGAGAGAGCACAAGGCCTGTAGTTCAAGCTCTAGTACTGCCCCTATCTCCTCAAAAAAATAAAATAAATAAATAAAGAATGATGGTAGGTGAGATTCAATCCCAAAAGGTCGATCCCAACACCACTCTTGGCAAAAGTATTCTACTAAAGGATGCCTGAGTCTAGATCTACCTGACATAGATTGAGTTTCAGAAGAGTTTGATCTTGCCATTTCTCTGCGACCTGGCTGCACATCACGGACAGCAAGTGTGCCCTGATAAGACTTGATTCCCCCGAAACAATTCCCAGGGCAATTCCAGGTCTACTTCCACGCACCAGAATGGCTTCCTACCATTTACAAGGTCACTGAAACAACTCTTAGATAGACGGATAGATCAGCAGCCCCAAGAATGACTTCAAGTCCTACCTAATCCCCGGTGAGGGAAATCACTTGCTGTGGCCTTGTTCAGTGTGATTTAGCAGCAGTGTGACAACTAGAGTTTTGTGTGAATGCAGTGACCCCACAGAGGATAGAACTACAATGCAAATTTGTTTCTCTAAAACCCTCTGGCATTTCAACACAGCCCAGCTGCGCACATAGCTTATACAACCATCATTATGGTTAGGCGGTCGGATGAGACCTTCGATGAGAGAGCACTCAGGATCCAGGTAAAGAGAACTGTTCACTGGGCCCCACCTCTGCTGTCTGGCCTTTCTCAGCAACGGTGGACTGAATCCTGTTCCCAAAGTCTTGGTGTTCCTCTATGACCACAAACTGCAGGGAAAAAGAAAGGAGTGAAAATATTATATTATTATTATTATTATACTTCATCATCATCATCTCAGTGTGTATTGATCCAATTCTATAGCTCCATGGCATTCATTCTGTGGAAAGTCAGTACACCTGTAATCCTCACAACTTAGGAAGCTGAGACCTGAGGATCACAGTTCAAAACCAGCCTGAACAGGAAAGGCTGTGAGACTCTAATCTCCAATTAACCACCAAGAAGACTGAAGTGGAGATGTGGCTCAAGTGGTAGAGTACCAGTCTTAAGCAAAAAGAAAGCTCAGGGGTAATGCCCAGGCCCCAAGTTCAACCCCAGTACTGGCACAAATAAAGGTGAAAGTGTAAAGAAAGACTGCTAAATTTATTCTCCGGCCAATGGAAGATTCCAGTTGGATGTAGGAACCTGTGTTTACTTTCTATTATTAGATACTAATTTGATTTTTCTTTACAAAGCAATCCATTCTAATTTTGGAATCCTAACTTTTGGATCATAGATCCCTCTTATACTGTAAGAATCCATCCCTCTGTATCTCAAAATGACCCTGGGCAAACAGAGGCTAGGAACATGGCTCAGTGGTAGAACACCAGCCTCGCAAACATGAGGCCCTGAGTTCAAATTGTATTTCACCAGAAAGAATCTTAGCCATTGACAGTGGTTCATGTCTGTAAGCCTAGCTAATTAGGAAATAAAGATCGCAAGGATTGTGGTTCAAGGCTCACCCCAGCAGGAAAGTAGTGATAACCTCCAGCTCAGCAAAGGAGCCAGAGGTGGTAGAACAGGTCTATAGTCCCAGCTACTTGAGAGGCACAGGAGGGGTGATCATGATGTGCATCTGGCCCTGGGAATAAACTATAAGACTATCTAAAAAAAACAATTAAAGCAAGTCAGGTACTGGTGGCTCATGTCTATAATCCAAGCAACTCAGGAGGTTGAGATCTGAGGACTGTGGTTTGAAGCCAGCCCAGGCAAAAAAGTCCAATTCATTACCAAAAACAAAAAACAAAACAAAAACAAAGCCCAGAAATGGGGCTATGGCTCAAGTGGTGCAGTGCAGCCTTGAGCAAAAACGCTCAGGGACAGCACCCAAGGCCCTGAGTTCAAGCCTCAGGACTTACACACACACACACACACACACACACACACACACAAAACTAAAACAAAAACAAAAATGCTTGCCCAACCAGGGTGAGGCTCTGAGTTCAAAATACCAGTACTGCTAAAAAAAAAAAAAAAACATAAGTATCTTCAGTATTGCTCATAGATCAAATAATGTCACATAAATATAAATGTATATTTTGTCAAACATATGTGTATAGTATATATATAACTCATTTAAACATGCAACCCAGCTCTGAGTAATTCACAATCACGAATAGGTCTGGACAACTAAAAGTGCAACTATTTGGCTGGGATCCACAGCATGCTTTCTCATGGTTGAAGAGCTTGGGAAGCAGAATTCGACAACAAAAACATGTCCTTTCAGTCAACAAAAGGATTATTTCTGTCATTATTTGGATTACCCAAAAGAGATTGGGCTCCTACAACGCAGGCTGAGCAGAGCTCATAGGCTGTAGTCTGGCTAGATAGGTGAGCTATTAAAATAGATGGAACGTAACAGGGAAGAAGAGAAATGAGCCAGGCTCCAGGATAGACACAGCCTAGCGACATTCTTTCTTGTCAATCAGTAACCCGGGGGAAGGATGACCCAGTGGTTCTGAGGAGGGAAGGGCTGGCTGGTCGGAGGAGGCCTCTACAGGAGGGAATTGAGAACTCAAAGGAAAGGGAAGAAGGGGACTGGGCGCTAGTGACCCACACCTGCCCGCCATCCTAGGGACTTAGAGGCTGAGATCTGAGGGTTGCAGTTCAAAGCCAGCCAAGGGCAAGACAAATCTCTGAGACGCTGATCTCTGATGAACCACCAACAAGCCAGAAGTAGAGCCATGGCTCAATTGGGAGAGAACTAGCCTTGAGCAAAAAAGCTCAGGGACAGTGCCCAGGCCAAGATTTCAAGCCCCAGCAGTTGGCAGAGGCACACACACACACACACACACACACACACACACACACGGAAGGTACAATGAAGGAGTCCATGGCAGAGGGAGGGATATGGCTGATGACAGCGTGGCTCTCCTGCCTGTGTGCTGTTCATTTTCTTTTTCTCACGCTACGTTTCTCCCTTTGCAGCTCTCTCATTCCCGGCTCTGCAGTGACACATGGCAAACTCACCGAGTCTGTTGTTTCAGGACACAGGCTGGTGATGTCTGGCTCCAGTGAAAATGTGCACTGCAGACTTCCTGCCCATGGGCCTGTCTGCCAGGAGCACACAGGCCCCAGAATCCTGGGCCCTGCGGATGGGGAAGGCAGCTGGGGGGGGAGCAGATTTGTTTCCACTGTGCTCCATCCAGTTTGGGTGTTCTGCTTTCTCCCACCCACTGGGATCCGTGCAGTGGCAGTTGGTGTGGACGACAGCAAGGAAAGCCGGGAAGACTGGCACTTTACCCACAGCTCAGCTCCAAGCCAACTAGCTGTTCCAGACAGCAATAAGCGATATTGATCCTTTGTTCCCTACACACACACACACACACACACATATGCGCGCAGATTATATGTTTGTCTTGTCCCTGTGATTTAAATGAGATGAATTAAACCTATAATCCAACAGCTGAATGAATACCACCATGGTAACCTATCAAGTATGAGTGCGTAATTGAGAGACCTGGGGTGTAAGGAGGCTGCTAAGAACTGAGCATGCCAGGTAGCTGAGGGCCCTTATAGGGAGAACCAAAGGCATCAGAGTCCACAGGTGTTCTAGCTCTTGCTGGAGGTGAATTGGGTATTAAAGCCTAGGACTGCTGTTTTGTTTTGTTTTTTAGCTCTGTACTCAAGTTCAGCCAAAAAAAATTAATAATACCAATAACAGCTGTTGGGGGAACAGATGTTTCCATGGGGTGGGAAGGCTGTTCTCTGTGAATGCCTGGTGTGGTGGGGGCTGGGAAGTGGGGATGATGTAGGAAGGTCCTGGAATACTGTTGCCCACCCCTCCATCATCTTCTCCATTGTTCTTTGTTTCGTGCCAGTCCTGGGGCTTGAATTCAGGGTCTTGGTAATGTCCCTGGGCTGTTTTTTGCAAAAGGCGAGTACTCTACCACTTGAGCTACAGTTCCATTTCCAGCTCTTTTTTGTATTTAATTAGAAATAACAGTGTCATGGGCTTTCCTGCCCAGGCTGACTTTGAACCAACGATCCTAGGTCTCAGCCTCCTGAGTAGCTCAGATTACAGGCATGAGCCACAGGTGTCCAGCCTCAGTGGGATTTTTGAAGCTGCAGTCCTCCATGGGCTTGCTACCTATTACAGCCTCTTCCACAGTGTAAACCAGTAACAACAGCATCAGCACACTAAGCATCCACTGGATTAGGCCCCACACACATTTCTGGAAACGGCAGTTCCCTTAAAAGTGTGGAGATCTTAGCTTGCCTCAGTTCTGCCCTCTAGTGGCCCAATACCAGTTGCAGGCGTGGGTCTCGAAGCCTCTTCAAGCTCTGTCCTGCTCGGCTCTATGGGAAAGATATACGCTTGACAGATGAAGAACAGCCCATAGGCAGGCTCTAGTTTGACTTTGAGTTTAACCTGAAGGAGGTTATTTTGTTATAAATACAGATTGAGCATCCTGTGCTCATGGTTGTTGAATCTGGCAACACATTTGCTACTTAAGTTTAGGGACTTAACAATGTTGTAAGAAAAGAAATATCAGGAACACTAGTGGCAGCATCTTGAGGTTTTAACAGCATCTGAAATTTGGATGAACTTCTAGAAATCGGAGGAAACATCACACAAACGCATAACAATCTGAGTAAGAGAGAAAAGATGCATGATAGCCAAAACGTCTCTATATTTCTGCACAATTACATCCTGAGGTGTTCTTTCCGCCCCCACCCCTCTATTCCACCCCCTACCCCCCATCCCCCTATCCCTATCCCCCATCCCGCAACATGGTTTGAATACAGGTCCTTGGGTTTGCTTGGCGGGCTGGCTCAGCTGGCTCTACCCCTAGAGACACTCCTCCATCCCAGATGGAGATAGAATCTCAAGGGCTTTTCTGTCCAGGTTGACTCCATGAACCACAATCCTCTGGATCTCAGCTCTTCTGAGAAGCTAGGATAACATTTGAGAACCACCAGCACCTGACTAATGCTGTTTTAATCCCTCTAGTTTCTTGATTAAGGTCCCACTCAGGACCTCCCTCTGGTGTTGGTTAATCCTGTTAGGGTCTAACAGATTCGTTGTTGTTTTTTTAGTCATTGAAGAGTGAGAACAATGAATGAGAATTGCTATCGAGTCAGTTCCTAGCTTCATCCTCTTTGGTTGACTTACCCATGGCTGGGGACAAGAAGGTATCTCCACCTCGCTGCTGGCAGGTCGGCTGCTGCTCACACCGCCACCGCCGCTCACACCATTGCTGCTTGGGTCTTCATAAGGATTCTTTGGGTTTTTCAATAGCTGCTTCCGAATCCTGAGATAAAACCAAACATATGAGACAGTCTCAGAAGAAAACAAACCAGGCATCTTTTTCAGGAATCTCATCAAGAGCTACTAATTGAACACAAGCAGTCAGCACATAGCTGAAAATGTCCCGCAGGAAATAAGGCCCCTGGGCAGCAACATGACATAGCCATAGGCCTGCAGATGCTGGTTTTTACTTTAGATGCATTGGCAATGGAAAGAAAAAGGGTTTCAGTGTCAGGCGTCAGTGGCTCACGCCTGTAATCCTAGCTGCTCAGGAGGCTGAGATCTGAGGATCGCAGTTTAAAAGCCAGCTCAGGCAGGAAAGTCTGTGAGACTCTAACTTCCAATTAACCACCGGAAAACCAGAAGTGGAGCTGTGGCTCAAGTGATAGAGTGCTAGCCTTGAGCACAAAAGTTCCGGGGCAGTGCCCAGGCTCTGAGTTCAAGTCCCAGTGCCAGCACCACAAACAAAACAAAACAAAACAGAAAAACCCCAACCAACAAGACCCCCACCAAAAAAAAACACAAAAACACATGTTCAAGAATCTTGTCTCTCTGGATGTGGTAGAAAATATCTTGGAGAATCTTCCTCCTACTGGAAAGACTATCATTCATAGTAAATCATAATAACTACAGATAGCATTTATTAAACTTGATATGTCAGCCTATGCTAAACTTTTACTTAGATGAATTCACACAAACTTACAATAGCCCTTGAGATAAACATTATCCTTGGCCCTATCTTATAGCCAAGAAAATGAATGACTGTAAATGTTAGATACTATGTCTGATTTAATTTAGGCATTAGATGGGATTTGAACCTGTGTGGTCAGATTCCAGAGGCCATGCTTTTAACCACTACACCAGGATACAGCAAGATATCAACTAGGAGCATCTTGGCTCTTTCTGCTGAATTTTCCACACTATGCATGCTTGTGCAGTGTCTGTGGCTGTGATTGGGTTTTGATCAGTGGGTGGCAGCAGGTAATCTGTTCATTGCCACAGAACTGGGACTTGTGTGTGAAGTGGGAATGAAATGATGCGATTGAACTAGATAATTCTATAAAGTCCCCTTGAACCCAAAAGTTTTCTGACTGATTTTTGTCCAGCACAAACCTTAACAAAACAGAAAATATTTTTCTATATTGACGGCAGTAGGGGACCTGATCTTACTTTCAAGGAAAATGGAAAATGAGTAACACTCTAACACAGTGGCTTTGTAAGTGTGTGTGTGTGTGTGTGTGTGTGTGTGTGTGCACTCGCATGCATGCACGTGCTTAGCACTGAAGCTTGAACTTGGGACCTTGCAGTCTTGCTTGGCTTTTTTACTCATGGCTGGTGCTCTACCACTTGGGCCACACTTCTATTTGGAGCTTTTTGCTGGTTAATTGGAAATGAGAGTCTGGATGATTTATCTTCCCAGGGTGATTTGAACCTTGATTCTGAGATCTCAGCTTCCTGAGTAGCTAGGATTACAGGTGTGAGCCACTGGTGGCTGGCCATAGAGTTGTTTTAAAGAAATGGATATGATTGTTCAATAATTTTTACCTGTTTGAAGTGATTGAAAACACAAAATCAAAGGATCAAGAGCTTCCTTGCAAGTTAGGAAAGATTATTTTCTTTAAGAGAGGTGATATGGTGTGGGCAACTAACATAATGGAATGCAACCATAAAATAGTTACACCGGCGCTGGAGTGGGGGAAGGTAGAAACAGATGTTCCTTAAAGGAAAAATTCATTATGAGAATTAACTGCATATATCTTGGGGTATAGCTCAGTGGAGATCCCCTGACTAGCACTTGTTAGGTCCCAGTTTCCATACCCAACACTGCAAAGATATACAGATGAGTGAGCAAATAAGTAACCATTTACATTATGTATGGACAAAGACTTAAATAAGTAAAAGCACAGCTGTCTTAGGATAGTGAAATTCTGGGCTTAAAAAGTGGGGAAAAAAAAGAGAATCCTCTGAGTGCCATGGCTCACATGTGTCCTCACAGCTGTTTGAGAGGTAGAGATCTGGAGTCTCATGGGCTCAAAGCCAACTTGGGTAAACAGTACAGGAGACTCCATCTCAACCAATTAAAGGCCAAGTACAGTTATCCCAGCCACGGGGAAAACATAAATAGGAAGATCACAGTCCAAGCCAAGTGAGACCCTCTTGAAAAAGGAATGAAAGCAAAAAGGGCTGGGGGGGCCTGTCTCAAGTGGTAGGGTACCTGCCTAGCAAGCCTGAAGTCCCGAGTTCAAACCCTCAGTACTCACCCACCCCTAAATCTATGGTATTCAATTCTGTAAATGTCTGTGTGTCTATCAATGTAGTTCATCCAAAGGAGGCCGGTGTTTACTCTGGGAGGACGGAAGAGTGCTTAAAGAAGCTATGGGAGGAAAAGTTCACCTGTACTGGCGTGCCTCCCAGAGTCCGACCACAAGCAGCAGGACCAGCACCACCACGCAGATCGCCACCACGGTGACGTCCCGCTGCTGCCCATGGCTGGCATTCCGCAGCTCCCATCGCAAGTCTCGGTGCTGACATCGCTCCCCGATGTAGCCCACCACGCAGCTGTGACGACACACACACACAGATCATCAGAGACCCCTGTCCAAAGAACGCGTGCTAGTCTTTTAGACTCCATAACTGGCTGGCTGGCCGTCAGCCTCAACATCTCCATCTCCAGACTCAGCCCCACATGCTCACGGAGAGGGAAAACCCATCCCAGGTGAGCGGAAAGCACCATAGCTACATGTTAATGACACAGGATTTCTCCTTCACTCAGTCCACCCTGGGATGGACGGAGGATTCTTTGCATCCTGCCTGTAGAAGAGAACATTGATTAAAGATGCATTCCTCTTGGGCTAAAATCCTAAGGACTAACCTTTAAAACCAACACACAGCAAATTTTCCCTGAGACTCAGGGGGAGTTTCAGAAACAAATTTTAGGCCACATTGCCATGAGCGTAAGCTGAAGGTAGGAAGAACCTGAAGCCAGGTACCAGTGGCTCACACCTGTAATCCTAGCTATTCAGAAGGCAGAGATACAGATGATCATGGTTCAGAGGCACCCTGGGTAGAAAAGTCTGAGGGACTTCATCTCCAATTAATCAGGCAAAAGCTGGGACTAGGTGAGGCTCAAGTGGTAAAGTGCTAACCTTAGCAAATATGCCAAGCAGATACAAGGCCCTGGGATCAAAGCCTCAAAACCTGGTACTGACTAAAACAAAACAATAAAACTGTACACAGTCCCAGGGCAGGAAACATAATCTCCAAACTGGAAGGAATAGTTCTTCCATTAATATATATATATATATATATTGATTGATTGATTGATTGATTGATTGATTGCCAGCATAAGCAAAAAGTGTCAATGAGAACCCATAGCGTTTGCCTGTTTTCTTTCCAAATTTTCTGAACTTCAAAAGGCTAGACAAGGAGGTTTACAATTTAACATGTCCCCTACTTTTCTTTCAAGGAGGAACAAAGTATGTGGAAGAAAACCAAGGGTCATTAGTCATCCCTGAACAGCTTATGGTATCATGGAAATGGTTACTAGAATGATCAGCCATCAAGTTATTACTGAATCTCGAATGTAATTGAAACAATGCTGCCACCTATTGGGCCATTGGGTGTGATTGTTTTCACAAATGGGGCAGAACTGTCAGGTTGACACTGGCATTCTCCGATTGCTTATAAGAACACCTACTTTCCAAACATCCTATTCCCAATCTATCTCCTCTGGCCCTGGAGTCACATCCAGTGCATCGAAGAAGATGCTCAGAATGGATACCACCTCCCATGTAGGGAGAGCCAGCATGAAAGAAGCACTGGAGAAAGTTCCAGAAGGTCTGGAGTCCAATCCTACTTTTGCCATTAATCTGTCATAAAAGACTAGAAGGTCACTTTTAGAGGGAGGAGAGAGAGGAACAAGCATTTGTGAATGGGTGACATCATTCCAAGCACACTGATGTGAAACTGGTGTGTTCCCATTGAACCGGCAAGGAAATGAGGCTCAAAGAAGTAATCAGTACAAGGTCACCCTGCTAATGAATGAGATTTGCTTCAAGTGACCCAATGATATGAACAACTATAATCTTCCTCCCACACCCCACTGTTTTCAGAAGGACTGTAAGCCCTAGTCACCTGTGGAAAATTATTCTAGAACTGCCCAGGCAGGTTAGGGGAAGACCTAAGGTAGGTGCGTGAAGGATTCCCAGGTTATTTCAAGCTCTACTAGAGGCTGGTCTTTCCTCCCCTCGCCTCCCATCACCTCCCCTATCCTCAATATTCTTCCCTCCCCAAGTCTTTCTACTTCTCTCCTTCCTCGTCTCCCTCCTCCTCCTCCTCTCTGTCATTAGGGGCTTTACTATAACATTTCCATACATCCCTATGATGTACTATGATCAAATTCACACCTTCTATTCACACCTGCTAATTCTCCCTCCCCCTCCTTAAACACAAGTTAATGGGGGTCATTAGTCTACTTCTGTACATAGGCAGTAATTTCTTGGAGTAGCTTCATCTGCTTCCCACTCTTTGTGTTCCTGGGTGTTCTGTTTTACATTTAGCAACCTTCAGTGATATGTAGCAGTCACTTCTAAACTACAGGGTGTCACTGGGTGATAACACTGAGCCTCTCCAAGGTTTGGAGGGTTTGAGAAATATGTCAATCATGACCAAAGTTAAGCTGTGCTTAATAGCAAGGGCCGCACCATACAAGGGCCAGCACTGAGGTCGGTTTACAAGGGGTGGAAATAAGGTTAAACTAGGGGTTCTTTAGATTATTAATTTGTCCTTTAGCTTAACCAAACAAAAGTCTGCTTGGCCAAATAAGCTTGAGTTTTCCATATAATTTTTAGATAATTTAGACTAAAGAAAGATAAACAAGACCTTTTCATGTGGGGTGGGGTGGAGTGCCATTAATCAGAAATTGAAAGCTAGAATCTACAGCTGCTTTCAAACTGATGTGGCCATATAAGTTGGTCATCAAGAAACCTTACAGCCCTGGAGAAGGGGCTGGCCTGCCAGAAGGATATTTTGGGCTAAGGCCCAGTCAGAATGAACAAGGACATATTCTGGGCTCAAGAGATTTGGGAAGTCTTTAGACTCCAGGCTAGGAAAGCTCAGAGAAGCACTGGTTGGTGAGCATGACAGATCTCCTCCCTATGGGTCGTCAGATGGCCTGATTCCCTATCTCCTTCTAAGCACTGAAGAAGCCTTTCCTGTGGAGAAAGATGCCAGGAAATGTTTCCAAGAGAGTCTGGGCTACAAGTACCGCCTGAGGTTTCTCATTATGGAATTAATCAAACATAAGGTAAAATCAGCAGGACAAAGGAGGGAAGGTTTGAATGTTTGATTAAACCATGTTTTTTTTTAAATTAAATGTACAATTCAGAAACAAGGTTATGATCCAAATACCATGAATGCTGGTGACAGTTTCAATATTACTTTTTGATGAAAGGTCCTTAGCTGTGTTAACTACAGACTTGTCATGTTGTAGGGTTGAAATAGCACCAGGAAACTATGATCTTTTCATGGGGATTTCATGAAAAAAGAAAAGCAGAGTGTCAAAGAGTTCATTGAGCCAGGTGCTGGTGGCTCATACCTGTCATCCTAGCTACTGAGGTAGCTGAGATCCAGGATAGCAGTTCAAAGCCAACCCAGGCAAGAAAGTCCATGACTCTTTTTTCCAATTAACTACCTGAAAACCAGAAGTGGATCTGTAGCTCAAAGTGGTAGAGTGTTAGGCTTAAGCAAAAAGCTTAGGGACAGCACCCAGGCCCTACGTCAAGTCCCATGACTGTCAAAAAAAAAAAAAAAAGAGTTCATCGGCCATTGGATGAGTGGACAGTTATCAAACCTGAGTGAAATCACTATACTCGTATAATATGTCCAAACCTACTGTAATCATTTTGATAACTAAAGGAAAGTATCATGGATCCAAAAAAACAAATGTCTGCATTTCTTTTGGTAACATTATTACTTGATGAGGATTAAAAAAACAATGAAAAGATTTTAAAACATTTTTCAATGTTATGGTGTATCGCTGGGCACGGGCTCACATCTGTAATCTTAACTATTCGGGAAGCCGAGATCTGTCTGTGAATCTCAGTTCAAAATCAGCGTGGAAAGCCTATGAGACTCTTGGGTCTAATTAACTACCAAAAAGCTGGAAGTGGAGCTGTGAATGAAGTGGTAGAGTTCCAGTCTTGAGCAAAAGGAGCTAAGCAGCAGCATTCAGGCCCTGAGTTCCAGTCCCAACACTGATGTGCATACCTGCATGCGTGTGTGCGTGCGGAAACCCGCAGGTGCATGGGTGCGCATACACACACACATACACATGCACACACAGGAAACATAGTTTAACTTACTTGCATGCGTAGCTGTCTACTGCCTCGACATACATACACACACCGCCGTGGAGACAGTACCCATCATGGGAGGGGGGACATCCAGGGTAGCTATTCCTGACCAGATGGCGGCCATCTTCCTCAAGGGGAGAGGGTGAAGTTGAATCTGGAAGAGTCAAGGATATTTCTTTTCTTTTCTTTTGCCAGTTCTGGGGCTTGAAATCAGGGCCTGGGTGGTTACTGTCCCTGAGCTTCTTTTGCTCAAGGCTAGCACTCTACTCCTTGGGCCACAGAACTACTTCTGGCTTTTCCTGTTTATGTGGTACTGAGGTATTGAACCCAGGGCTTCATGCATGCTAGGCAAGCACTCTACCACTAAGCCATATTCCCAGCCATTACTTTTATTTTCTAAGGTGCTTTTTCAAGTATCAACACCAGGACTAGTGTTAGGGAATAAATTGTGATATGGTGTCTCTTAGTGACAGAGAGCTGTCAGGACTAACAACAGCTTTCCCTTCCAATCTACCCCTCTTTCCTTCGGCACAGGTTCTTTGATAGAAAGTATGTTGGAAGCAAGTAAGAGGATGGTTGATCCCAAATCACCATATGAATTTGACCACTCATCTCTTACAAAAGCAGATCTGCCATCGAGAAAGACTGATATCAGCTTCAAGAAGTTCTCACCCAACAACCCTTGTCTTTGTGTATAGATGAAAAACTTTACCAGGCGTCATCCAGTGGCTTATACCTGTAATCCTAGCTATTCTGGAGGCTGAGATCTAAGGATCACAGTTTGAAGCCAGCCTGGGCAAAAAAAAAAAGACCCACAAAAACCTTAAATCAATTTCACTATTCAGGAGATTAGTCACATAGTTCAACAGGAAAAAAATAACAAAACACTCCTAGGTGCCCAGGAGTAATAAACAAAGGATTTATTCCATATGTTACAGAATGAAGGAAGCCTGGACCTCTTGGGGATCTCCAGGCCAGCATCAGCCCAATAAAGAAATGCAGTTCTGCAGCCTGATTGACAGAATGATTTCTAAGACTCTCTAAGGCACAGAATATCCCTGCACCAGGGCTGGGAATGTGGCTTAGTGGTAGAGCGCTTACCTAGCATGCCTGAAGCCCTGGGTTCAATTCCTCAGTACCACACTACACAGAAAAAGCCAGAAGTGGTGTTCAGGCTCAAGTGGTAAAGTGCATGAGCAAAAGAAGCTCAGGGACAGTGCCCAGGCCCTGAGTTCAAGCCCCACAACTGGCAACAAGAATATCCCTGTACCAGGCCCCTCTGGCTGGGCCCAGCCCACCCTTCCACCTACCGGGACAAGGCAGCCCAGGTTGAGATATGAGGCCTGCACACTGGCAGGTGTAGCCTCCCTCCGTGTTCATGCAGTCGGCATTCTCTCCACAGCCATGAACCCCCAGCTGGCACTCGTCCACATCTGTGGGAAGAGCAGGGGTGGGAATGAGAATAGAGGGGCACGGAGGAGGAAGAGGGTTCTGCTACCGCAGCGTCCAGCGGTCTCCGAGGCGGCCATTTTCTCCTCTCACCACGCTGCAGCAGCTTCTAAGAAGGTTTAGGGGATCATCGCTAATCAGACAGACCGACCGACAGACAGATAGATAAAGGAACTGGATTCGACATGGTAGCCATTGCCGGAGTTCTGAGTTCTGTCTGTTCTGCGATGCTCTGTAACTGTAAAATACACACCAGATTTTGAAGACTTAGACTCAAAACTCAAAACACGCACACTCACACACAATATCCTATCATGCTTTCACATCATTAGGCTGTAAAATCGTACATATACTGGAGTAAATAAAATCGCTTCATAAAAGTAATTCACCTGTTTCTTTTTTTTTTTTTTTACTTTTCATAATTATAGCTACTAGAAAATTTAGAGGAGGGGGGAGGGGGATGTGAATGACTGAGCCTCCGAGTCCAGTCCTCCATAAATAAAACCCAACCCAGCCATTAGGGACTGGCCTGTCTCTTCACAAGTTCATAGGGGAAATCTACATCTCAGAGAGACGTTCTGAAGATAGGGAATTAAAGTTAAATCAAGTCAGAAGGGGATAGCCTTAATCCAGTAGAATGGGTATCCTTAAAGAACAGGAAGATATGTCAAAGCAGAAAATACTTTCTCCTCTCTCCCTCCCTGTGTTTTCTCCTCTGCCTTCTTCCCTTCCCCACTTTTTCCTTTTTTTGTCTCCCTCTCTGGCTTTCTCTCTTCACCCTCTTTCCTTCCTCCTTCTCTTTCACCAGAACTAAGCTAGCCCATTATCTTTACCTGGGATTTCTAGCCTCCAGCTGGTGAGAAAACCAACTTGTATCACTTAAGTCACCTACTGTGTGGTACTCAGTTATGGCATAGTTTTCTCCCCACCTATCCAGTGCTTACCCTTAGTACTACCATTTCCTCCTCCCCAGATCTCCTTTGCTCTTGCTTGGAATACCCCCATCCATCCGTTCATGTTTCCACCTAATTAAGACTTGCTCATTCCCTGGGGCCCTTCTTAGTGATACTTCCTCCACAAACGCTTGCCCAATCCCTCAGATCTTTCTCCCCATTCTAAAGCTTCCATGGTGTTTAGTTCTTTTTTTTTTTCTTCTCTCATGACATGAACCTTTTGTTCTCATTTACCACAGCTGTTTTGACTTAAGGTTAGTTTCTCCTTGCATGGGAAGCTTGGCTTCCTCATCTTGGCCACCACCTTGAATCGCTATCCTGCTCCCAAATAGTTCAGCAGACTCCTATTTCTTTGTGGTTTTGTTTGTTTATTTTTCCATCCTGGCTTTCTGTTATAATCTCGAGTTTATAAATCTTCTCTCACCTGGGGAGAGGGAGAAGGAGCTCCTCCAGAAAGCAAAACAAAGATGTACTCTTGGCCAAGACAATAAGATCAATAACACAACTTCTACATAGCACTTAGATGTCAGGGATAGTTCAAAGCATTTCATCTCTATATACATCCACGGAGGGAGGGAGAGGAAGAGAGAGAGAAAAAGAGAGATGAGAGAGAAATACAGAAAGGGAAAGAAAAACAGAAACATACAGAAAGAAACAAACACAGAGAAAGAGACAGAGCAACAGTCAGACACACAAAGAGTGAGAGTGAGAAATACAGAGAGAAAAACAGAAACACAGAGTGGGGGAGAGGGAGAGGGAGAGGGAGAATGAGAGAAAGAGAGAGATCCCTGTGGCTTCCAGGGGCCAAAGAATCCTATGTTGACCAGACACACAAGACCATAACACCTGGGGCGTGCTTAATACTAGAGATGGGTTAGTAATATTAAAAAAAAAATCCAGAGTCCATTGAGTTAAAAAAAATTCCAAAAAGGACACCTTCTTTGCTCTTCACAAGAAATGAAATATGAAGTCTGTTTGTCTAAATTCTCTATGAGCCTGCTTAATTGGGGGCTGACATTTTCCTGACTGCCAGCCAAGTATGTACTTAGAGAGCGTGTCAAATGTCTGTGGACTCCACAGGACTAGTCTGATAAAGGTGTGGGTTAAGCCCAGCAGATCTAGAAAATGGATAGTTGTGATAGGTATTTATTTCCTCTTGAACCTTCCGTGTGGGCATCATTTGAGTTTCTTATCAGGGCCTCTGGCCTTTGCCGTGATCAGATTTTGTTTTGTTTTCAGAAGAAGAAAAGAAAAATATTTGAAGAGGACTTAGAACGTCTTGAGAAACTTCAGCTGACTGCTGTTCTGCGTGCGTGTGGCTTCCAACATGTCTCCACTTGTATGGTGATGGCTGAGAGGCAGAAGGTGACCGCTAGGCAAACTCCCCACTCACAGACCCACCTAAACCTTGGCTGGTGACAAAAGTGAGTGTCATCACCCTATCCTCGTAGCGAAATGGCAGTGGCTCGAATGTCCCATTGAATGATCTATCAAGAAATACTGGATGGGGCTGGGAAGGTGGCTCAGTGGTAGAGTGCTTGCCTTGCATGCCTGAGGCCCTGGGTTCGATTCCTCAGCACCACATAAGCAAAAAGAAAAAAAGCCGGAAGTGGCACTGTGGCTCAAGTGGTAGAGCGCTAGCCTTGAGCTGAAGAGCTGAGGGACAGTACCCAGGCCCAGAGTTCAGGCCCCATGACTGGACCCAAAAAAAAAAAAAAAAGAAAGAAATACTGGATGAAGTCAGGCACTAATGGCTCACGCCTGTAATCCTAGCTACTCAGAAGGTTGAGATCTGAGGATGAAAGTTCAAAGCCACCCTTTATTTCCAATGAATCACCAAAAACCTGGAAGAGGAGCTGTAGCTCAAGTGGTGGAGCACCAACCTTGAGTTTAAAAAAGCTCAGGGACAGTGCCCAGGCCCCGAGTTCAAGTCCCAATACGTAAATACCCAATAAAACTAGTCAAAAAACTACTCGTCCTTTCCTTTCTCCCTACAGCTGTGATTCCCAGTCACCCACAACGGCCCTGCAGCTTTCTATATTCTGATCACCAAATGCAGTGGCAAACAAAGGCTGCCCAGGTCTGTCCTAATGGCCCAAGCCACAGAACTCCCAGATATTGGGTCACTCAACTCTCCAAGAGGCTGGAAGCTGGCTAGTGTAGGCATGGCCAAGCACAGCAAGGAGACTTTCCTAAGACCAGAATAGCTGCACAAGTCCTCTTATGAGAGGACTTGAGATGTGTGTCACTCAGTCAATCATATGCTGTCATCTTATGGCCCAACACACACATAATGTTTTGTGATTCCACTCCCCTCTCCCCTCCCCCCCGCCCCCCCCGTCCCTCTTCTGAGCCCTCTCACCCAGACAGTGAATCCCATCTCCTCGGAAGCCTTCTGAGCACCGGCACACGTAGCTGCCTTCGGTGTTAATGCATGTGGAAGAGGTGGGTGGGCAGGCTGCGGTACCCAGCATGCATTCATCAATATCTGCAGGCAGAAATGCGAATGAGTGTCATCCTCAAGCAATCCTGCCATGATGGGGATTGAAGAAATGATACAGCCCCTGACAGGTACTGTTGGGAGGTAGAATGCACACCTTGTTTCTTGGATATAAAGCCCACTTTTTTTTTTTTTTTGTATGTGTGTCAGTACTGCGGCTTAAACTTATGGCCTGGACACTTCTTCTTAGTTTTTTCCGTCAAGGCTGGCACTCTATCACTTTAGCCACGCCTCCACTTCTGGTATTTTCTTGGTTAATTGAAGATTAAAAAGTCTCACAGGCATTCCTACCTAGATTGGCTTTGAACTACAATCCTGGGATCTCTGCCTCCTGAGTTGCTTGGACTACAGTTGTGAGCACTGGTACCCAACTTTTGAAGTTCACTTTTGAATTGATTTATCCTGAGTTCCCACGTGCCCAATAGCCAAGTGTGTGCAAATAAATCACTTCCTGCCAGGAAGTCAGAGCAGACTATTTTCCAGTAATCACTAACTTAGCATTTTGAGGTTATTGAAGTTATAATATAAACTAGAAATCTATCCTAGCCTAGGTGTTCAACTAGAACTTGTACACGAAGCTTCTTTGGAGGAAGTGTTCTACTTTCTTTGGCATTGGTGAATTTACAAATTTGCCCTGAACTCAGATTCACACTTTTAGAGGTCATTATAAATTCTTCCTCTTCCTGTTACCCATATTGAGTGCATCATTTTAATATGCACTTCATGTAATATGTGTCGCTATTACATATGATATGTCGGTAAGTCTCGATTTCTATGGATGTCTCTTTTTAAAAGTTAACATCAAATAGCTTACTTAAATCTGCTGATCACATAAACCCTTCTGGAGATTTCAAGTGATGGGAGAGGAAAATGGGTTTGGGGCTCACACGTTTTGATTGACCCTGGTTCTTACCAAAACATCCTTTTCCATCACCGGCAAAGCCTTGCAAACACCGACAGGTGGCATTCTCTCCTTCAGATGCACACGTGGCATGCCTGCTGCATCCGCCAGGGCCACAGTCATCTCCATCTACAAACAGCAAGAACCCCTTCCATTACTGCAGACCTCCCCAGGTGAGAGACAATGGAATTCAGTGTCTAGGGTTGTAGAGAACACTCCAACACTTCTTTGTGCAAGTTCTGGGACAGGCTGGTCCACCAAATAGAAACATCTAGTTGCCTTGTGAGCTACATTTATATTATAGGATTTATAGGCCACATGATGCTCTCAACAAACTTCAGTCTTTTCTTTTTTCTTTTGGTCAGTCGTAGGGCTTGAACTCAGGGCCTGGATGCTGACCCTGAGCTTTTTTTGCTCAAGGCTGGTATTCTACCACTTTGAGCCATAGTATCACTTCCATTTTCTGGTGATTCATTGAAGATAGGAGTCTCATAAGGGTCTCCTGCCCAGGCTGGTTTTGAGCTTTGATCCTCAGATCTCAACCTCCTGATTAGCTAGGATTGCAGGCATGAGCCACCAGTGCCTGGCTTCTTCAGATTTTTTTGAGACAAAATCTGGCTATGTAGGCCAGGCTAGCCTCCAATTCAAGACCTTCCTGAAGGCTGGACTTATAGGCATGTGCCACCATGTCCAGCTAAAGTTCATCTTACATGAGTTCAAAGTGCCCTGTGTGAACTTGTTTGCAACTTCTGTTCTGTTGTTTGGTTTTGGGTGCCAGTACTGGGGCTTGAGATCGGGGCCCAGACATTAATTGTCCCTGAGCATTTTCATTCAAGGCTAGTACTCTACCACTGGAACCCCAGTTCCCCTGTCAGCTTTTTGGTGGTTAAATTGGAGGTTAGAGTCTCATGGACTTTCCTGCCCAGGTTAGCTTTGAATCTCTTAGCCTCAGATCTCAACTTTGTTGAGTAACTAGGATTATAGATATAAACTATCAGCACCCAACTTGTCATGTTTTAAAAGCATTTCCAAGTTTGAGCCATAACTTTGTTAGGAAATAGATAGCATTAAATTTCAAAAGAAATTTTTTCCTTAAAAATCCCCAACCAATTGGGTGCTGGCGGCTCACGCCTGCAATCCTAGCTACTCAGGAAGCTGAGATCTGAGGATCGCAGTTTGAAGCCAGCTCACGCAGGAAACTCCATGAGACCCTTATCTCTAACAAACTACTCAAAAAAGAGCTGGAAGTGGTGCTGTGGCTCAAAAGGTAGAGTGCTTGGCTTGAGCAAAAGAAGCTCAGGGACAGCACCCAGGCCCAGAGTTCAAACCCCAAGACTGGCAAAAAAACCCCCCAACCATTGTGGCATACAAGGAAAAGATTTATTCTCTCCCCCAAAGACACACAGATTAGTATGAAACACTTTGATCTTTATATGCTAGAGTTCAAATGGTAAAACGATTTATTATCAATTTATGAATATCATCTATCATGCATAATAGAACATGTATGTCATAGCACGTGCTTATTAGCAAGATGGATGCAGTGACTTGCAAGCCTCCAGGCACTGTGAGAAAGTCATGAACCACACAAGTTAGATGCTGTCATACTTCGCTGAAATGCTAGGGCTCCAGGGGGCAACCCTACTTGTTGAGCCATAAACAGGAGCACGCTTTCCTTGGCTGCTTCTTTTTCTTTTCCTTTGTGGCTTTCACTACCTATGTACATAGTGATTCTTCAAATGCCACCCACTCCCCCTTTTCTTTGGAGTTGGAGAATCTATAAACAACCATCATCCATCTCTTCACAGGAATCTTTGTTCATCTGGATACAGAAGAAACAAAAGAAGCCCTCCAAACTGGCTCATCAATCACAGAAGGTTAAAGGACCTCAGCAGGTACCACGGGACTGCACACGCTGCGTGGTTGTGCTTGGTTTGCTTAGCTACTTGAGCAAGAAGAAGGTTCCTTCTTCCTGTGGGAACACTGGCCTTTCACACTTGCCTGGTCACCTTCTGTCACTCACGACTCTCAGGATGTCTAAGTGCAGAACGCACATTGGACAATAGCCAATTGCCCAAGATATTTAAAATTACTTGCTGTCAGGTGCTGGTGGCTCACGTCTGTTAATTCTAGCTACTGATGAGACTGAGACCTGTGGTTCAAAGCCAGCCCAGGCAAGAAAGTCTGTGAGAGTCTTATCTCCAATTTATTTCTTGAGCTGTAGTTCCAGAGGTAGAGTACCAACCTTGAGCCAAAGAAAGCTAAGAGACAGAGCTCAGGCCCTGACTTCAAGCCCCAGTTCTGGAACAAGATGAAATGAAATAAATTGAAATGAAATCGCTTGCAGAATTGTCCTGTTAGACTATGATTCAGGAGTTTATGTGTTAAGTTGCAAGCCTGATGCTAGCTTTGCATATGAAACACAATGGTTGGGCAATTGCAGGAAGGATGTGCTGGAGCTAGGCTTCTTTCTGCCTTAATCTAGTTCTGAACAGAATGCCCTTGTTCACTTTCTAGCAATTTCTGCTAGGACTGCTTTTCCTATGATGGTTGTAAGAATCAGAAAGAAAGCCATTTGTATGTGCGTGTGTGTGTGTGTGTGTGTGTGTGTGTGTGTGTGTGTGTGTGTGTGTGCATACGCTCACGCATGTGTATGCCCAAATGGGGCTTAGCTTTTTTCTCTCAAGTGTAGTGCTCTACCACTTGATCCACACCTCTACTTCTGGATTTTTGTTAGTTAATTGCAAATAAAAATCTCAAGAACTTTTCTACTGGGACTGGCCTTGACCTTTGGTCTGTAGATCTTCTTTGAATTTTGATCTTCTGAGTAACTAGGATGGCAGGTATGAGCCACTAGAACCTGGTTTCCAAGGTATATTTCTTTAAAGAATATTTACCTCAAAGACTCTCAATGTGTACAGTTCATGTGCAGTCTAGTGTGGGGCTGGACACAACTCAGAGGAGAAGAACTGGAGACCCAAGTTCACTTTCCTAAGCCTTGTGTAAATGTAGTCAAAATCCAGGTAAGATAATTCAGAATACTCGGTAGAATGAAAATTGCTGGAACCAGAGCTGGACTGGGAAACACACTTTCCATACCTGACACCATGATTTCCATTAACATGGCCTGTGGTTCTGTGGCGTTTTCTCTGGACGCTCCAGGCTGGGGTACATGGTCCAGCAGTGCCACATGGTTGCCGCCATTTCCTTCACCACCTGTGGAAAGCCAACAGATGACATTAATTTCATTTTTCTGTTTCAAGGGAAGTTTGTTTTCATGTCTGCTTGCAGTTATTCATTGCATATTAGTTCAGTAAGCGGATGTAATCGAACTGGCAGGTCTTGTGGTAACTTAGTAAGACTTCTCCTACTCCCCCCTGCTCTCCAGTATTGCCCAGTCCCCTCAGGGAAGCCAGTGGGGTGATAGATGGTACTCATTTGGGTATGGGCAAAAATAAAATCCTGATGACCACAACCAGCTCATAACCACCGGCCATCAGAGCAAGGGAAAATCAGTGAGATCATTTCCTCAACGTGTCCTCCATACCCTCCCTGCTTTAGGGCTTGGTTCGTGTTCATTCTAGCCTGGTTTTTACCTGTATTTTAGAATGTGAATGGGCATGGAGAAGCCATAATTGAAATGCGGGTATGGATTCACGTACTCCCTCATGATGGAAGGTAAGAATGACTGGCTTGTCTTTAAACTCATGACTATTGACTATACAGCTTTTACTATAGTATTCTGTTAAATAAATGAGAAATGCACGCAAAGCACCCCCAGTGAGTGCCTACTAAGTCACCAGAGCAACGCACATGGAAGAATGGTGAACTGTGAGTGGAAACTTGCGTCTTTCCAAAACAAGAATTTCATGAGGCTGTTCAAGGGCTGGAGGAATGCTAGAGGAGTGTTAGAACGCATACCCAGCAAGTACAAGGCCCTGAGTTCAAACCCCAGTACTACCAAAACTATTAAATAACAAAGGTTGTAAATCAACACTACCTCTCCCAACTCCCTGGCTTTTGTGAAGGTAGATTTCCTTCATAGACTTTAATTGAAATGACAAACAATAGATCTGATGTAGAACTGGATATGAAAATCCAATTTGTCCTCTATTCATTGAGATTTAGATAAATAAATGGAAAACGAAGGTGCCCTTTTCACTAAGATGTTTTTGCTTTGGAAACAACACTATTTAATGTTAAAAAATATGCTATGTTAACAGATTGAAATAAAGTTATGGTCTTAACAAAAACTTTGTTGTAGTATCTAAAATCAATATTGACAGGTATAGTCCATGTAAAAACTCTTTAGGATTTTCAGTAAATTAAAAAAAAAAAGTATAAGCAGGATACCAGTGGCTCACACCTGTAATCCTAGCTACTCAGGAGGCTGAGATCTGAGGATTGAAGTTCAAAGCCAGGCCAGGCAGGAAAGTCCGTGAGACTCTTATTTCCAATTAACCAGAAAACCACAAGTGGCACTGTGGCTCAAATAGTAGAGTGCTGGCTTTGAGCTGAAGGGTGCACGGACAGCACCCAAGCCCTGAGTTCAAGCCCCACAATTGACCAAAAAAAAAAAGTATAAAGAGGTACAGAGATCAAGAGGTATGAAACTATTGTCTTGGCCAACAAGTTAGCAGACAATTCTGAAAATCCAAGATATCCATGAGGGATGAATATTCTTATTGGTAATCTCTTGCCTAACTCATATTTTTACCATGACTATCAGATAAATAGAACTTTTTTTCTTTTCCTGCTAGTACTGTGAAGTCAGGGTATGGGCACTGTCTTTGAGCTTTTTGCTCAAGGCTAATGGTCTACCTATTGAACTTCTGATTTGTTGCTGCTCAGACTTTCCTGCCTGGGCTGACTTTGAACCACAATCCTCAGATCTCAGCCTCCTGAATAGCTAGGATAACAGCCATGAGCCACTGGCACCTTGCAAATAAGACTTTTTAAAAATGGTTCCATGAAATCTAAATTATCCTTGGTGTATTTTTTGGTAGAAATATATCCAAAGAAAGACCACGTATGCCTTCTCAGGATGGATTTCCTACACTTGTTCTGTATCCTAAAGTCATGTACCTGAAGGACTTTGATTTTCCTATTAAAACCTTACATACAAGAAGAAGATGGTTACACTATAGCTTCTAAAACTGAAGATATCAAACACATAAACAAGCAGGGTAGTCCTAGCTATTCAAGGGGCTTAGATCTGAGGACTTTGGTTCAAAGCTAGCCCAGACAGAAAAATCTGTGAGACTCTTAGCTCCAATTAACTAGCTGTGGAGAGAGTGCTTTCCACGAGCAAAAAAATAAAAAATAAAAATCTCAGGGACAGTGCCTGGGCCTTGAGTGCAAACCCCAGGACTAGCACAAAAACAAAACAAAAACCAAGAACCTCCTAAACACGAAGTCTCTAAGTACTTGTGTGAGGTGGCGAAACATGGACATTTATTTCCAAGCTAGGCCCTCCCCATTACAAATGGAGAAATAAGGGAAGGAGGCTGATTGGAGCCAAAGACTTTATAATGAGCGCTCAACTGAATTTAGTCCGTAACACATAACTGAAAACTCTTTAGAGGGGTTAAGGGGAAAAAAAAACCACAGTCTTGCATTCCTGGAGACCAAGAGCCTCAAACATACAAAATATTAAAACTCAGCAAAAGCAGGGACGGAGATGGGATCCAAGGGCCCCAGAGCACTGGTGAGATGATTAAGATGCCCAATTGATCGTATTACCAGCTGCTGGCCGATGACTCTTTGGATCAAGACACATTCTCCCATCGGGAGCTTTTGTAAAACCTTCATGACAGGAACACTGAGCAGTCCCAAAGCTCTCTTGGCAAATCTGTTGACAGCCTCCATTCTGATGTAAGCAGGGGTCAGCACCTAGTGAGAGAGAAAAGCAGCCAATCCGCAAGTGAGCTCAGGGGCATAAAGGATGCTATTGGTTGTAGTCTACACCTCTGGGGAGAGAATTCTGGGTATCTAAATCGAGGTGATGTGATTAAGTATTTCATAAAGATCCCACAGGGAGCCTGCCTTCAAGATCAGCTCCAAAAGCTACCACATGAGGATTTAACGACTGTAGACAGTACTTTTTCCACTCAAAATACTCTCCGGTCAGATGGGATCTCTACCTGCTGATTCAGTCAAGCTGACTGACAAAGGAGAAAGAAGAGCCACCAGAGGAGACTAATGCACCTAGCATCTCCTTGCTTGGCTGGTACTCCCTGGCTGGCATATTGGGGTAGGAAAAAAAGCCCTAGAGCAGGAAGACATTTCCACTGCAAGAATCTCAACTGCCAGCCTTAAGAGCTTGTAAGCCACAGCCTTGGAAATACAACATGTAAAAACAATTGGGGGAGTGTGGGTGCTGTTAAGGTGAAAAATAAGTTTAAGTAACTCAAATGACCAAGCAAATTAACAAACCACTGGAGTGTCTTAAACCAAGCAAAGTGGAAATCTTAGCATTTGTGTGTGTGTGTGTGTGTGTGTGTGTGTGTGTGTGTGTGTGTATGTGCGTGTGTGGTACTGGGGCTTGAACTCAGGGCCCGGGAGCTGTCTCTTAGCCTTTTTTGCTCAAGGGTGGTGCTCTCCCACTTGAGCCACAGCTTTACTTCTAGCTTTTTGGTGGCTCATTGGTGGATTTTCCTGCCCAGGCTGGCTTTGAATTGCGATCCTCAGATCTCAGCCTCCGGGGTCACCAGGATTACAGGTATGTACCACCAGCACCTGACTCAGAAAAATCTTAAAATCTACCCAGAGAGGGGTGGGGGAATTGAAAAGTCCTTTCCACTGTCCCCCCTTTCCACCCCCACCCCCAACCCCATCTGTCATCAGCTACAGTAGTGGCAGGTTGTGGCCAAGGAAGGCCTACGGAACATCTCCAGTGTACCTGGTTTTGCCAATGGGTGGACCACAACCAGAGACGAGGGCTTCAGCATGCTGCCTCGGAGACATACCCTGTTTGCGCCAGTCCTCTTGTTCACCCTTATTACCGATGGCATAGCCCATTCCGAGATCCACAGGTGATCCTCAAACACAGCTAGAGCAAAGGGGCGACCTGGAAGTGATTCAGAGTCATGACATACAATGAAGATTTGCAAGGGGACCAAGCTGGAAACCTGCAGCATTCCCACACTACATCTTTCCCATAGCTGCTGAGCTGATGGCCTACACCTGCATTTGGAGAAACCCCAGGCTGATGGAACTCTGCCTTAGAGGGCTAGCAAGGCCCATTGTCACCCGGCAGGTGAAGGCTGTCTGTCTTAATGACCCAAGAAGGAAGTAGATGAGGGAATGGTATATACTTAGGTCTGCCACTATTCATATGCTAAGTTATTTTTTTCTTTGCCTTAGGTTTCTGGAATTTTTTAAAATGCATATACTCTTTCTTAAAGAACATATAATTTTATTGTTATTATTAAGGTGTTGTACAGAAGGGTTACCATTTCACAATTCAGGCAGTTCTTGGTTTTGAAGGGCTGTAGCTATACATTCATAGGGGTTAAAATGTTGCTGTAAGTCAGATACTGGTGGCTCATGCCTGTAATCCCAACCATTCGGGAGGCTGAGATCTGAGGATTTATCAAAGCCATCCCAGACATAACATTTCATGAGCATGTTACCTCCAGTTAGCCACCCAAAGCTGGAATTGGAGCTATAGCTCGAGTGGAAAAGCCCCCGTACCAGCAGAAAAGAATGTTTTTGAGATGACTATTTCTTCAAATTCCTCTTTCTACCAACACCTTCCCTCCATTTGCCCCACGTCCTTCTCTCTCTGCCCTATCATCTTAGTATCTGTTTTTGGAAAAAGCTAATGTGTTTTCTGCTACCTGTATTTCTATGGTTCCTGTAGGCTTCCTTCTAGAGCACCCCAACCAAACCCACCTCTCAAGGCCATCAGGAATTTCTTTGACAAGTCAGGAAAGGAATTAGGGAAATGTGATCACACATAACCTCAAACAGTTAAGGAACACTAAGGAGGCCCCAGTTTGAAAGCTCAGTAATACTGCACGTGAGCAGTCAATGTCATGACTTAGAACCCAGAGCTCCCTCTGGTGGCTCCAACCTCAAATATCAGGCGACAGTGAATCTCCACCCCATTATAACTAAGATCATTAACATCCATAATTCTTTTTATGTGGTAACACACATTATAACATTTACCACCTTAACCTTTCTAAGTGTCCAGTTCAGTAGTGTTATATATATTTATATGCTGTTGTACAGCGAATCTCCAAACTTTTCATCTTGCCAGTCTAAAGCTCGCTGTCTGTTAAATAACTCCCATGTCCCTCCCCATGTCTCTCCTGGTAAATACCATCCGACTTCATGTTTGTGTGAATTTGGCCACTCCTCAAGGCCATCCATTTGAAGCATGTAAGAATTAGCAAGTGTTTCAACTACCAAATATCCACTCCCGACATCATTTTCCTTATTGCTTTTTATTACCATTAAATGTGAATTCATTTACTCTTTATATTAAAAAGCTTAAGCAGGCAGCTGAAGCCACCACATAAATTTCAGTAGATGGCACTAGGGAGCTAGGAATGATTACTTAGATAATTTCAAACCAGAGGATTTGACAATGGTCTTCAATAAAAATCACATTCATCATTTTTCAGTAACAATTTCAAATTACTAACCTATGCTCTGGTCTAGATTATGACATTTTTACTATTGTGGTTAAGAATGTTAAAGTCCCTCTCTACCTTCTGCTGGAAAAGCTCTCCGTTTTCAGTTACTTGCATGGTGTTTTCTAAATAAGGAAGGTTTTCTCACGAGACTCCATGACTTCACAGAAATCTCCACACCTCGCCTTCCCTGTCCCTACCATTGCCTTTTATCACAATCAGATGTCCTGGTTCAAAGCCTGGTTTTACAGACTCCCTGAGTCCTTGTCCCCACTGCTAACACAAGCTGATAGCCACCTGTACTTCCCTTTTATATGGCCTTGTGCCGTAAAAATATTTGTGAGAATAAATGGTAAACTGCACTTGCTAATTTATGTACATGTGGTCAATTGACAGTTGCTAATGCCTAAAAGTGACATTATCGCTTGTGAAATGACCCTCTGTAAAAATGGGACCAAGTTTTTAGTCCTAAATTTGGAAAATTTCAGTATTTTCATTCTGATTCGGGAAACCCTAGGAAAGAGGGGGGGAGGTTGGGTGTGTGCTTGAGTGTGTATTTGTATCTGTGTTTGTTACGTTGGTGTGTGTGTGTGTGTGTATTGTGGTTAGCATTCATCAGCACTCAGTCAAATGAAGAAATGGCCCACCCCAAAGCCTCACCTACATCATTCTGGGCAAGTCTTTGGCGTTTGGAACCATCCAGATTGGACATTTCAATGACAGCCCGCTTGGCATCACACCAATACAACAGGTCTGTCAAATAGTCAATGGTAAGTCCACTGGGCTCCAACAGGTCAGAGCTGGCTATCACCAGCCGGCCGGAGCCTTTCAGGGAAGAGCTTTCAATTTTCGGATTAATCCCTGTATCGGTCCAGAATAATCTCCTTTAACCAAGAAAGCAAACAATAAATACGATCTGCATGAAAAATCCATTTTTCATCATTGAATGTATCAATAAGGGCTGGAGGTGGGGCTCAAGTGGTACAGTGCCTGCAAGAACCTGAGTTCAAATCCTGTACTGCAAAATAAAAAATATCAATATAAATTACTTCAGGATATACTGAAGAGGGACATTAAGTCTGAGGCTCTCCATTCAAGTTCTTGTACAGAAACAGACAGAGAGGAAGAAGGAAGGAAGGAAGGGAGGAAGGAAGAAAGGAAGGAAGGAAGGAAGGAAGGAAGGAAGGAAGGAAGGAAG